TTATCAGTCCATATATCAAGTCACAAATGATTATATTTTCTTCTTTGGATGGTGAGGGTTTCAAACATTTAGATCACAAATGGAAACTTACAGACATTTCATCCACCTTGTGGGATGATGTCCAATATTAGGATGAATACCAAGTTGTGATGATGGGAGAATGGGATTGTGACTTTCTATCAATCAGAGATATCCAACTATGTGTGTGGTGTGTCTTACAGCTCAGTTGCCTGATTGGCTCTCTGCAACATGCTCCACCCCCTGCTCATCCTGTCTCTTCTCAGCTTGCTGACAGCAGGTAAGCTAAAACAGCTGGCAGTCAGTTAAAAGCCATTTGGAGGTAACATTTAGTTTGTGACCGGCATTTTTTTTTTCCTTAAAAGAATATTTGATCTTTGTGATAAAACAGGTTGATCAGGATCTGACAATAATGTGTGATATTTTGCATGTGTGTCTGTTATGATTATCTGGGTCTCATACAAAGACCAAAATCACTCCTCTTCAGAAGTTACCTCGATCATTTACCTTTGATCATTCTAGAATATGGACCCTGGAGTCGCCCAGTTCCATCTGAATTTATACTGAAAGTCATGTCCTATTCATGTATTTAGGAGATCTTCATTTACCCTGAAAAAAATCTTAGTGTCTTACTATTCGTCACTGATTGAAGTAAATAAGAACAGCCCTAGGTTTCTCTTCAGCACGGTAACCAAGCTGACAAAAAGTCATTTATGTTGAGCAAACCATTCCTTTAACATGAACTAGCAAGGACTTCATGAATTTCTTCACACATAAAACCAATCAAGGAAAAAGTATTTGTGACAATTATGTACAGCTGCTTTCAGTACCATTTAGCATCCACTGACACCGCTCTGTTTTGTGTGGTCAACCACTTCATGGCGGAGTTGCAATCACTCCCTATCGCAGGTGGGATCCTGTCAAGGTTACATGAAACAACCAAACAAAGTACATTACAAAAACCATAAATAGCAACCCTTAGGCCTGCGAGGTCATTCAGCCTTTAACCCCACCAACCATCCTGCAAATTTTAAACAACTTAAGTCCTTGGCAAATACAATGCTGGACACCTGAATGACTTTAAACAGATATATAAATACAATATACCCTAGGAGTAGTGATGGCCAATTTAAAGCTGAAGCTCCGGTGTAAGTGTCAAAAAAATCAACTCATTGTTTCAGAAACACTGTGTTGAAGCTTGGTTTGTCTGAACAGAGTCAAAGTCATCAATGATGTCCGAAACTTCATTCGGCACGTCACTGTCAATTCAGCTGTATAGAGTGGGCAGTCCTAATAAAGCAGTGCATTCGAATTTGTAGATTCAAGCTGCTCTTCATATTTGTGACGACCAGATTTCACCAAAGATTACTGAACAGCTTCTAGTCATGAACTGTTTTTCAATACAAGCTTAAATGCATCAGAAAACTAAATTTGGCCATCACTACCTAGGAAATATATATAAGCAAATTTCATAATATTTTACCGGGGTAAAAAAGTAATGTGATCAGACAGAATATACTCTGTCTGATCACATTCTGTCTGAATGTTTTCTATGCTTAAAGCATAAGAAAAAGGGTTGTATGACTTATGTAAATTTCACGTATATCAGTGAAATTTGCTTGAAGTAAAGATGACTTCTTTTCATCCTTCAGGATATTCCCAAAGTGTCGATCCTTGTTACGACTACACTGTGCTGAATGATCAATGGCGTTCAACAAACAACACAAATACTCAGGACCTACACTGTGATCAATCTATTAACTGGCAAGGCTGGTACCGCCTGTTTCTGGGGAGCTCCAATGCTCGTATTCCCGAGACGTGTATAGACTCAAACAGGTGTGGAACCCATGCTCCTCTGTGGATAACACAACCTCATCCCTCACAGCCAGGTGAAACTGTAAATCGCACTGTGTGCAACAACTGGTCTGGAAGCTGCTGCCAGTTTCCATCACACACCATCCAAGTCAAACTATGCTATGGAAACTACTACGTCTACAAACTTGAGAGGCCATCTGCGTGCCACCTTGCGTACTGTGCAGGTATTGTTGCCCTCTAAGCATGATCACACTGTAACAAATTAATATTTTTCATCCTCCTGCTAAATTCAACTTTTCAGGAGAAAAATGCTCTCAGCTTTACCGCAGTACTCTCACTTATTCATTTATGTATTGACTGTAAACAGAGGTGAACACAACAACATCTGCACTTTCTTCAACCACACCTGCTCCAATACCACAGACCTCTACAGCCAATCAGGTCAGGCTCACTTCTACAACAGCAGTGAGCAACAGTGCAGCAGTGGAGGGGCGCATCCGCCTGGTTGGAGGAAACAGCTTGTGTTCTGGCAGGGTGGAGATCTTCCACAGTGGGCAGTGGGGGACGGTGTGTGATGATTTATGGGACCTAGTGGATGCTCAGGTGGTGTGTAGACAGCTGGGCTGCGGCAGGGTCGTCTCAGCACCAGCAAATGCTCAGTTTGGTCAGGGCACCGGACCCATCTGGTTGGATGATGTCAGTTGCTCAGGCAGTGAATCAAATCTCACTCAGTGCCAGCACTTAGGATTTGGATCTCACAACTGTGCACACTCTGAGGACGCTGGTGTCATCTGTGAAGGTAAATTTGTGCAGCTGCAGACACTGAAGTCCCACTGCTTGATTATATGTCCAGGATGTTTAGCTGACAGGTTTGCAGTCAACGATTATGATAGCTTTGATTTATGACTCTCAGGTATCTGTGCTTTGATTTTTTTTCTTATTCAGTTTAACATGAAACAATGCAAGTTCAGCAGATCTCTTCAGATTCAGATGATAAATAAATAACAAATAAATAAATAATAGATAACAAATAAAAATATATTTCAGCTTTGT